AGGAGAGCTGCAATGCCTGAAAAGAAAATGAAATATTGTAGTTAAAACTGGAAAACGATTGTGGTAAACCAGGGTCACTGTTCTATACACAACTAGTTCATTTTGATGAGGATCCAATTAGGACTCAGAGAAAGGAACTAGTAGTTCACAAAAGCAACCAGATGGACGGTTACAGAACTTTTTGGATGCAATGTGAGACCACGTAACTTGATTTCAACTACCTTTGCGCTCCAGATTGTGAAGTAAAACGCATTTTGAAAGAAACTCTAAGTAAATATTACACAGAGAACTTTTTAGCAGAGGTCAAATTTGGAGGTTTCAACCTAATAAGCTATTTCTACAAGGAGTCAAAAGATCAAGCTGCAAAGGTATACTTAGCAATAGGCAAGTTAGGCAACTCTGCTGCAACAGGCGAAAGCTTATTATCTAATGTCCTATATTCAACCAATAAAGGCCAATACTAGCCCAATTAGAAATTGACCAGAGGTTTTTCAGCCAGCACATGGATCTACTCTAATTATGCAAAATTTTATAGGTTTCTCTTCCACTTTCTGAATTATACTAAACAAAAGGAACATGCCTGACGGAAAACACAATTTGTTACCTCAAGCGTTTCTTACGAGGACATGACTGTCTAATTCGACGACTTCATTATTTGGCGACTAGCAGAATTTGCACGCCATTTTCGTTGCACAGTAATGCATGGCATATCCTACAGCCTATTCTGATTTACTGCTTTGCCTGCTCCAAGTGGTTAAAAATCATTTAAGGTTTATTTCTCAAAGGAATTGCGAAATGTTTGACCGTATTCCGGTACAGTCCGGGTAGGTAATAAGAAGTCTCAACGTTCGTCGCAACCAGACAAAAGTGCAGGCAGGGGAAAGGGGAGTCGTCAACTCACAAAAATATAAATTCAGAGGGAACTCGGCAACTAGCTCAGTGCGCTTGTGACAGTTCTAATGACCGACTATCACACACAAAATTCAACAGACCCAAACGGCATCCATGCCTGCCACCTTCTATCATTCGAGTCTGGAATCGTACGATAACAGTTTCCAGAT